TGTTACACTGAACTAAGTCTGCCATTCCTATTAGGAGAATAATTTAAATCAAACAAATCTTAACTTTGTATTTATCCTCCTGAATACCTCAGATTACCTCCAGTTTATCTCCAGAATATCTCCAACTACACACATAGAAACAGCACTCTCCAGAATATCTCCAACTACACACTTAGAAACAGCACTCTCCAGAATATCTCCAACTACACACTTAGAAACAGCACTTAGAAGTAGCATCAAGCTAAATTAGACAAGCTAATGACAACAAGCCTTATATAACTCCTAAAATCACCACCCACTAGGAATATTTAACACCTGGGTAGGCCACTGGTTATTTGCAAACAATAGCTAATTAACCAGCAATCAATAGTAAGTAACTAGCTTAATCAAATCAAATGCATTATAATTACCAACAGGAATTCAAACCTTGTGCAATCAGTAACCTTTTCCTACCGATGAATCTTACCTGTAACAGTAGAAAAGAAAGCTCTTAGCACAACTCTTAGACAGTTGAAGCTTCTGTGAAACTCTCCAGAATATCTCCCAACTACACACTTAGAAACAGCACTTAGAAGTAGCACCTAGCTATATTGGTGTCCAGTGTCCATGCAGCCCTGAGCAGCTTGAAAAAGATTGAGAGACGGCTTACTTGTCCACAGTCTCAAGACAGCTGCCTTCGCCCTTTACAGGCTTCTTCCTGCAAAATAATAAAAAATTATTTTTGAAAAAAGAGACACGACTTAAGCAGTTTTAAAAAAATTTTTCTCTAAAAACAAATAAAAATTAAATATATATTTTCTTAATTTTTTTCTTAACGCCAATTAATACTTTGGTTTAACCTTCTGATTGGGGCACCAATGATAGGCTAAGAACATCATCTGAGAGCTCAGCCTAGACATTCACAGCCCCATTCACAAAAACAGAGTGAGAAAAATATGTGTGCATGGGCATGTTTCCCACTCTGTTTTGTGATTGGCTGAGCCAGCCAGCAGATTCCTGATTCAACCATTAAACTACATTGGAAGTAGTGAGATAAAAAGGTTTCTTACCCGAGAGAGATGAAAGGGACCTCGCGATTTGGTGTCTGGTGTCCATGCAGCCCTGAGCAGCTTGAAAATGAGACTGAGAGACGGCACAGTCTCAAGACAGCTGCCTTCGCCTTTTACAGGCTTCTTCCTGCAAAATAATATAAAATGTTTTTTTGTTTGTTTTTTTGATTTTTTTAATACGATAATACTACAGTAATACTATACTGTAATTATAACATATATTACACATCATAATAAATTATTGCATTGTTACTTTAAATACCATCTGCACTATATTGTACCTTTTTTGTATTTTTCCCCACATGTACTCTCTATTTTACCATTGTACGAAATAACATTTGGTAAGCTGTATATGTGTTTGAGCGCTCCACTTACAGTTATAGGTCCTTGTTACTTACACCGCACTAATATTTACTCCAATCAAGAACTCTGAAGCTGTGAGTGCACTTATGGACGCTGTCACGAACGCACCCTACTCCAAGAGTGTGCGTGATGTAGTTGTGGTTGTGAAAGGGTTAAAGTTCACTATTTGTCTGCACTAGACCAGAAATAATGACAAAATCCCCCTTTTAACACCACCCACACTTAAACATAATAATATAATTATTACTATTTTAACGCTGCCACCACGAAGACAATTTATAAATGGGGTGCCTTGGTCCCCAGGTAAATCAACAATAAAACCCACCAAATATTACTTAGTACAATATTAAAGGAATTACAAAAATACTAAATAGTCTCTTCAGGTAACGTGATTCTTAACCAGACAAAGGCAGAACTTAATAAATTAATGTTTATTATGAGCAAAAAATATTCACAGTGCATATAACAATATATGATAAACAAATTATTTACACCAACAACAGATAAAAACAAAAAGGATAAAATACAGAAGTCCTAATTACTCACTTAGGTTTTCAAAGTACAACTTCTGCCGAGGGGGTCTCTGGCAAGGAAAGATGGTGACTCACTCAAAATTAGATCTTGGCCCCAAGCAAGTACACAAGCACCCTTAAGGATCATTAGATATATATCCTGTGGTTTATCAAGGCTTGCCCAGGGGTGGAGTTAAGGTGTACCCAAAGAGATACTAAGTGACTACCTCCTTTGTTCCAGAAAACAACAAGCCACATACAAACTTTTGGTTTTATCTCCTCTACTGTACTTGCCACAGAAATAATAATTGCCTCAATGAATTTATTATTTTCCCATTCCATAGACGTGTTGCACGCCCCAACCACGATCCAATAGGACAGACATCACAATTCCTGCCACACGGTTTAAGTTGTGCAACTCATATTTAGGCTTAATTAAGAAATGGGGCTTGTCCCATTCCAAATATAATACAAATAAAAAACTAATCCCATTACCATATCAAATGATTGAACTATCCTTTACAAGGTACATGCCAAATGGATGAAGAGACATTCAGACTTTTTCCAAGTGTAGAACCTCACACCTTGCAGAGCCTTAATTACATCACATCCATATAGTAAAATCCTTTTCACATTGCCATGCCATTCACACTACCCCTTCTGTCATCTGACCTCTGTGGGGGTCCCAGCTTCAAAAGATGTAACCCCTTTTGACCTCAACAATACCATTTCTGTAATTTGTGCCATTTACTACACAAATTACATTAAAGGATAATATTCCATAGGGTAATAATAAATTATGCACCCTTGCCGGGACCTGGCACCCAGACCACTTCATTGAGCTGAAGAGGTATGGGTGACTATAGTGTCCCTTTAATTAGTAAAGTCAACCATGCTCCTAGCCCAAATGTCCAATCCCAATCCCCAAAGAAGCCAGTATCATGTTTGATATCCTGTACTAAGTCATGTAAATCTTTTATATTTTTATGGATCATAGTGCCAAGGTCAGATAGGTTAAAATAGCACATACCTTCAATAGCTACACAGCCTAAGTCATGTTTTATTACTAAGTAGTCAATGGCTGCTCTATTCTCAAAGATTGCCTTCTTATTTATCCTATCTGCTCGCGAACGCGCATATGTGTGGTTGAGCACTGAGTTTCTTCATAGGGGCGGTATTTAATGGAGAAGGAGAAGCGTCCTATTGGGCCCTGCGATTTTGTAATTTTGACAAAGGGGGCGTGGCCTAGCGGGGAGCTCGGCGCTGGAACGGAGGTAAGTTTTATTATTAAAACTTACTCTGATTTTTTTTTTTTTTATGGCAAGTTCATATAAAAGCAAGAAATAAGGCTGGGGGACCTGTCTTTCTTGCTTTAATATGTTGACTGTAGTCTCCCTTTAATTACCTCCTAATGTATGTGTGTAGCAGAATGGCATTTTTTCCCTTCCCTGGGTTTTTTTTTTTTGTAACAACCGACCACCCTTGGCTGTTAACCTCAAATTGCTCATTAAAGAAGGGGTTCTCCTGTGTGGCCGCCGTTCATATTACCGAACGCACGTGTGCAAACAAACGGTGGCCATCTTGTCTCTCAAACGTGGACAGCGGTATATGGTCGTCGACGGCCTGGAACTAATTTCGGCTACTGGACTCCGCGAACACTCGGTAAACTATTACCGCTGCCCATTCAACTTGGGTAGAACATTGGCATAAGGATAGAGTACAATGAGTTGTCATTAATGGTAAGTTTTCAGGCTGGACAAAAGTGGTAAGTGGTGTCCCTCAGGATTCTGTTTTGGGACCGCTTATATTTAGCATATTTATAAATGATCTTGAAATAGGCATTGAAAGCCATGTATCAGTGTTTGCAGATGACACAAAAACTTTGTAAAGTAATAAAATGTGAGCAGGCTATTGCTTTGCTGCAGATGGATTTGGATAGATTGGGGGACTGGGCACTAAAATGGCAAATGTAATTTAACGTAGAGAAATGCAAAGTTATGCACTTTGGGGTCAAGAATGCACAAGCAATTTACCCCCTAAATGGTAGTGAACTAGGGATAACCACACACTAGAAGGATTTGGGAATTGTTATAAACAAATTAGGCAGCAATATGCAATGTCAATCTGCTGTTGCTAAGTCCAGTAAGGTTTTGTCGTGCATAAATTCTCGGGATAAAAATATAATTTTGCCTCTTTATAAATCGCTGGTAAGACCACACCTTGAATATGCTGTGCAATTTTGGGCTCCTGTTCTAAAGAAAGATATCATGGCACTAGAAAAAGTGCAGAGACGAACAACAAAATTGATAAAAGGAATGGAACATTTTAGTTACGAAGAAAGGTTAAAAAATCTAAATCTAAATCCAGTGAGAGGGGATATGATAACATTATACAAATATATTCGGGGCCAGTACAAACCGTTATCTGGAAATCTATTCATAAAACAGGGCTATACATAGGACACGAGTTCACGCATTTAGGCTGGAAGAAAGGAGATTTCATCTAAGGCAAAGAAAAGGTTTTTGTACAGTAAGAGCAATAAGGATATGGAATTCTCTGCTTGAAGAGGTGGTTTTGTCATACAGATGTTTAAACTGCAATTGGATAAATACTTGCAAAAACATAAGATACAGGGATATAATTTCTAATTAGTGGGGTAATAGCTGCTTGATCCAAGGAGACATCTGACTGCTATTTTGGAGTCAAGAAGGAATTTTTTCCTAGTTTGTTGCAAAATTGGAAGCACTTCAGACTAGGTTTTTTGCCTTCTTTTGGATCAACAGCAAAAACCTGTGAGGAAGGCTGAACTTGATGGACGTAAGTCTCTTTTCAGCTATGTAACTTCCCGAACCAGTAGGAGAACGGCGTTCGGGAGACCTAAACTACCGAACAAGGGGGAAATTTCGTATGCTAGCAGCCAGAGGGACCCTTCGTCAGCATTCGTGCGAGAACTCCAGAAAGAAGACCGGTCAAAGCCTATAATCCTCTGGAACTATTTTGGGGCTTCACCTCATGGTCGACCGGTCTAAACTTCACTTGAATAGCGTTCCTAATCTTCCGAACGAATCTGAGTGATATTTTGACAAAGTGGGCGCTCAGATCCCTGCTATTCGGTGAACTAACTTTTGTGGAGTTCTGAGATATTAAAATATGTTTTATGGGGTTTTACAATATTGTATATTTTCAGTACCTGTGAGATAATGTAATTAAAGAGTTGTTCTTACTCAATAATCTCCCAGGCACAGAGGTGGAGTCTGTGAAATGTTGACTTGTCCCTTGTCCCCAACAAAAGGTCCACCAGGGGAAAATCCCTGGAATGTAATTTAAGAAACCCCTTGCATGGGGAGTTGCAAAAATGCCAGCTGTGGCTGAAAAAAAAAAATCAGTTGAGCTCCAGAACTGTGAGTCATCCAGTTACTGGGGGGATTGTGCCTTGGATATCTTAATGCTTCCTCAACTACAAGTAGTCTACAGCGGAGATATTGATGCTGAATATTGGAGCTCCGCTATAACGTGTGCCTTGATGAACTTGACAAGTTGTGAATTAAATTGTATAACTTGAGAACACAGAAGTGCAGAACTTTATAACCTTAAAATTAAGCATACCATCATTTCAGTGGCACTTTAAAGAAACTACAAACATTTAGAGGAGGACAAGTTTAATTTAACTTTTGTGACCAAATACCCAAACATCCAGCTCATGCAAACAAGAGATGTGGCCTTCTCCGTGAATGTTATGCAGTAAATAGACCTCTTTATCAGATGTTCATCATCATAATAAGATTTGAGTTTATTAATTTCCGAACACCTTGGATAAGAACAGATAGAAGAAATTTAATAATGCAAAACATTCCCTGCATTCAGAATTTAAGAATAGTTTATCTTCTGTGATTTCTCTGATGTTTAGTGAGACCTGAGCGATCAGTATAACATTTCCCACATTCAGAGCAGAAAAACGGTTTCTCTCCTGTGTGAATCCTTTTATGTGATACAAGATGTGCGGCCTGAGTAAAGCATTTTCCGCATTCAGTGCATTTATATGGTTTTTCTCCTGTGTGAATTCTTTTATGCAAAGCAAGTAATTTTGCCTGAGTAAAACATTTCTCGCATTCAGTGCATTTAAATGGTTTTTCTCCTGTGTGAACCCATTTATGAGAAGCAAGCTGGAAAGACCAGGAAAAACATTCCCCACACTCTGTGCATTTAAATGGTTTTACCCCTGTGTGAACCGACTTATGCGATGCAAGCTGTGTGGCCCAAGTAAAACATTTCCCGCATTCACTGCATTGAAATGGCTTTTCGCCTGTGTGAATCCTTTTATGAGACGCAAGATGTGCAGCCTGGGTAAAGCATTTACCACATTCAGTGCAGTTAAATGGTTTTATTCCAGTGTGAATCCTTTTATGAGATGCAAGATGGGCGGCCTGGGTGAAGCATTTATCACATTCAGTGCAGTTAAATGGTTTTATTCCGCTGTGAATCTTTCTATGTGATACAAGGTGTTCAGACAAAGAAAAACATTTTCCGCATTCATTGCATTTAAATGGCTTTTCTCCTGTATGACTCCTCTTGTGTTTAGTCAGATAAGACACGAGTCTAAAAAGCTTCCCACATTCAGAACATGAAAATACTTTGTCTTCTTTGGGATTTCTCTCCTGTGTAACGAGTTCAGCCTCTGTAAACACGACCGGCCCTATTTCTGTAGCATCCATAGTGCCTCCTTTGTTATCCGGCTGATGCTGAACTATCTTTGAGTTAATATTAAAACTTTCAGGCAACTTGTGACAGTGCAGTACCTTTCCAATATTTTGAGGAGAAATACCGTCGTTATAATTATTATTACCTGGTTTCCTTGATTCTATTATTGATAAATTAGCTGGAGTGTTACCAGCAATGCAAGTAAATGTATCCTTCTTCTGTGTGTGTTCCGTAAGAGTGTAATTTTCAGCATCAATAAGCATTACTGTTCCAAACTCAGTTGACTTAGAGGTAGATTTATATTCTGTGGGAGCACAAATTTCAGTCTTTGTGGTGTTTCCCTCTTCACAAGAGACTAACTCATCCTTAATACAAGTAGATTGATATTCTGTCAGTGTATGTTCTGTGGATGTGCAAACGTCTGTGTCTATAAGATTTCCTTCTCTATATGAGGCTGGTTCATCCTTAACATGAATCGTTGTATGTTCTGTGTGTGCATCCACTGTAGGTTTAGCAGTGGCAATGTCTATGAAATTCCCTTCAACACAAAAAGTGGATTCCTCCTTACTATGAGTAGATGTACATTTTGTTGACATACATTCCATGGGTGGAGAAATGTCTGGATTTGTGAGATTTTCTTCTTCGGATAAGGCTGCCTCCTCCTTAATAAGTGTAGACATATATTTTGTGAGTGTCCCTTCTGCATGTGATGCAGATTCATGTGATTTAGTAAAAAACTTCCTTTGTTCACTGCATTTCTGATCTTGTACTCCATTATTGGTTTTATTCACAGTGACATATTTATTTCCAAAATCCGGCAAAGAAAAATGCATGTGAAATTCACCAGATACGGATGTCTCTATTAAAAGAAAGTGCATATTAATAGCTAATCAAATAGATATGAACACAAGATACAGCATATTAAGCAACATAGCTGATGCTTATTTACTTGGTAAAATGCAGTGACCTAATGTTATGGTGAGTCTCAGTTATCAAGATCTCCTTGCAGACAATCCTTATATACATTGCTGTCTGATACATAACATTGTATATCATTAGAATTTATGTGGTTTTATTCAAAAATATATATTTTTTTCTCAACACAACGGTGATTAAAGCTTCTATTACCCAATGAGCTGAGAGGCCAATAATTTCCAGTATCCAGGTCTTTGTAGAGATTCTTGTGTTCTCCTAAATACTCCCACTCCTCCGTGGAGAAATAGACAGTGAAGTCCTCACATCTTATAGGAACCTGGTAGACACAAAGATACAGTCACCATTCAGACACATCTCCTGTTTTACTATATAATGTCCCATTCTCAGCATCCTCACCTCTCCAGTCAACAGCTGGGTGATCTGATTGGTCAGTTCCAAAATCTTATTGTCATTATTTCTCTCATGTATGAGTGAGTGAGGTGGAGGCAGCATGGATTTATCGGACACCCAGGGACTGTTGCTGTGTGATGTATAACCCACAGGTTTCTTCACAACCATGTGCTCCTACATATTGAGGATGACAGATACATATGCATTGCAATGGTTTCTTTCCATCATTTGTTCCAATATCATTATATGCCCTCTTCTAAAAATACATAAGACCTAATATCTTTATTTACCTAAATAATTCCTGTGATGGACCGCCTGGCACCCCGACGGGTGCCTCCGCCAATCAATGCTCCTAGTGCTCACCGAGGACTCCAAGCACTCCACCCGACCCCATCAGCACTGTAGTCCACACGTCCAGCGTTACAGCTTGGTTGAGAACTCGCCGTCCTCCACCCACCCTGGACCCAAGACCAGGATCCAGCTTCCAGTGGGTGAACCTCTCCTACTCCAGAGAGTGTAGCAGGAACAGCTCTTAAAAGAGCTAGTGATTAGAACCCAGGGGAGTATAGCAATCCCCAGAGTGTCATGCCGAACTTACCTTTCCCCAATCGATTCCTCTTTTCTCCCTCTCTCTGAATCTGTTTTTCATTTCTTCCTATCTGCTCTAGTTTTGTTTAAAACATAAGACAAAGTAGGGACTATTTTGTCTTATGTATTTTTCCTACACTTGACTAGCTCATGTGGGTCAGAGAAATTTTTCCACAATACTCACCCCATAGTCAATGGGCAGGAGGCTAGCCTTCACACCCCTCCAGGAGCCCTTGGCAAGGGAGCATTCGTCACAAACCGTTTATTTATTCATGTTACAAAAAACAAGGGGAATGAAGATAGTACAATAATCTTACTCTAACTAGGGTTAACCCCTAGTGCAACAAAATGCACTATTAAAGGACCAATCTAGGCACCCGGACCACTTCAGCTTAATGAAGTGGTCTGGGTGCCTGGTCCAGCTAGGGTTAACCCATTTTTTTTATAAACATAGCAGTTTCAGAGAAACTGCTATGTTTATGAATGGGTTAAGCCTTCCCCCATTCCCTCTAGCGGCTGTCTCATTGACAGCCGCTAGAGGCGCTTGCGTGCTTCTCACTGTGATTTTCACAGTGAGAGCACGCAAGCGTCCATAGGAAAGCATTGATAATGCTTTCCTATGTGACCGGCTGAATGCGCGCGCAGCTCTTGCCGCGTGTGCGCATTCAGCCGACGGGGAGGAACGGAGGAGGATCGGAGGCAGAGAGCTCCCCGCCCAGTGCTGGAAAAAGGTAAGTTTTACCCCTTTTCCCCTTTCCAGAGCCGGGCGGGAGGGGGTCCCTGAGGGTGGGGGCACCCTCAGGGCACTATAGTGCCAGGAAAACAAGTGTTTTTCTGGCACTATAGTAGTCCTTTAAACTAAACAATAAGGAAGGGAGACAGGAGAAGGGACAGGATAAATTATAGAGTGTCCTCCAGAGTGGTAGTTGCCTCGTTATAGAGGGGTGACCTTAGGATAGGTTGGGCTCCTGTCTCTCTTCCTTATTGTTTAGTTTATTCATGTTAGGACGCAATCCGGGACTTTTGTTCGGATCGGAATTTCATTAGTATTAGTGAATAAGGGAGTTTTAAATCTCCCGAAATGCCCCTACTCGCTATACTGAGTAGGGGCATATCTACTAAACAGTGAGCAGCCTTGTTACTTTTGGCCCCTACCTTCTGCTCATGGGTGGGGGCCGGAAGGGGGAGATAATAGGTCCCCCCTCCTTTTGTTACTTAGGGCCCCCACCTGCCGTTCATGGGTGGGGGCTGGGGGAAGGCAGTATGCCCCTCCCCTTTTGTTATTACGGCCCTCACCCACCGCTCATGGTTTGGAGCCCGGGGAGGGAGGAACACTATGTCTTCCCCTGTAAATTATTTTTCTAGATGCCCCACCTGCTCCCTGCCGCTTATATTTTTACATATTACAAGGAGGGAGAAAACAAATGAAGAAACGAATACAGGCATTCGGTGTTTGTTCGTCCGAAATTTCTATTTATTCATTCGTCTTTCTGACGAATGGTATGACGAAATCCCTGTCTGAATTTTGGAAAAAAGCAAATGCCCAAGTATTTAACTGGACATGCGCAGGAATTTCATAGTGCTATATAGTGTGGGCATATGACGTGTCAAACAGGGACTTCATCTGCCCACACTAAGATGGCGGCGCCAAGGACCTAGGTCCGGGCATAAATTAAAGTTATTTAAAATGGTAAATCGAGTTGACCTAGGGGTATTTGGGGGTGACTAGGTGCACAACAAAATGTATTGGAGTCGGAAGGGGTAGGTTAAAAAAAAAAAAAAAAAACGGATACGGCCATGACAGTGTCGCTTTAAGGTTGCCGTCTCTCTAATGCAGAAAGTCCACAAATGAAGACCTCAAAACTTGTGTTCCTGTATTTTAGTGCCAAAAATATACCAAGCAGGGCTTGGTAAAACCTTTGTGCACAAAAGTGAGCACAGCACTCGCTGCATGGGATTACTTCCACCAGGGTGATCCAGACAGGGAGGGCAAATTCTCCCCCCACCTCACATCCACTGAAAACATATACAGAAGGTACGCCCAATGGTTTTTATAAGAGGCAGTCTTTCTTTTGGAACAAAATATAATGACATTATGTTTTGGCTCCTACATGAGCCTTTGTAAAAAGCTCATGTAGGAACCAAAACGTTGCCGTTATATTTTGAACAAAATAAAGACTGCCTCTTGAAGAAACCATTGGGTGTGCCTGGACGTTTGCATATGTTACGAACGTAAAACCTGTCTGAGACCTGAGATTCTTTTGTAATATGTATTAAAGTGTGTGACAATATGAAATTCCCAGATTCCATCACCTTTCCAGTCAGCAGGTAGATGATCTCCAAGGTTAGGTCCAAGATCATCTCAGGCACCTGATTCCTTTTCTCGTACATTTTCACAGGCTTACTGTCAACATACAGAGAATGGGCTCCAGTTCTTTTGGGCTGACTTGATTAAAGGGACCACAGCAATTCTGTAATTAGAAATATATTCTGTATCAGTTTACTTATCATGGCTACTCACTAAACTGTGAATTTATGCAAACTAAACCCAAATGACAAACATAGCCAAAGTTGAGACTATGGCTCTGCTGGAGAATTTTTCCAGATCAGCTTTTTTTTTTTTTTTTTTTTTAATTCTTTATTTTTGCAGTGCTTAGGTTTTACACACACGCTTGTCAAGCCACAATAGCTAGTCCAAGCCAATGAAATAGTACATGTGTTACATTTCACAATATCATGGCATTCGTATATAGCACTTTTTTTTTTTTTTTGTTAGTTACAGAACCTGGTTACACGGGAAATCTGCTATTCTCATCGTTTGGCCATTTAGTGAACTGGTTAATCTTGTAACCTATGGGTTAACATGCTAGGTGAACTTCGCTAAATCTTTCTTATAACAAGTTAACATCGCTGTACTAGTTAGACATAAGGTTTGTATGCTGTGTCAATACAGGTACAGCTTAAAATGTGGTTATACAGGGTAAAGGTACTAGGTGATACTTGCACCTGTTTTAAGTGACTGATTACTCGTAGGTTAACTTTGCTAGGGCATTCTATCCTGCTTTTGCGGTTGCGATTGTTTGAAGCATAGTTTAGCATATACTTAGAGTCCTGAAAGTAGTCGCTTGTATGAACTCCCCACAGCCTCGCCGTCGCGCAGCTGGGCATTCCTGCTCCCCGGAGGGATGTTGGGCAGGCTTTGAGACTCATGCTGGTTCCTCAAGTCCTGTCTGCCCGAGTTCTGCTTTGTGGCTGCTGAAGGTTGGTAAGTCCCCCTGATTTTGTCGCAGCTGTTTTCCTCCAGCCGTTTGGTGTCTCCTCCTTGCGGTTTGGCAGTTAGGTGTCGCTGTGCCGTTGTGGAGGTGATGTGCCTTCTGTGCCGGCCGGCCGAGCATGCCCGGGGGGTTGTCTATTAGATCAGATTCACAGGGCTTGTGTAGATGGCATCCCCCCGGGAGCCGCAGGTATCTGTGCGAGCCAGCAGGGTCACTGCGCCGCCATTTTAGATATGGCTCGTGGCCTGGTCTACGTGTTTGCAGTCCTTCAGGGCCCCGGATGCTTCGAGGTAGCAGAGGCTGCAGAGCGTATAGGGTGTGGGCCGGGATCACCCCCGCCGGCCCAGGGGGGGGGAACAGGGCCCGGTCCGCTCAGCTAAGGGAGTCTGGCCAGACAGCATCGGGCAGGATAGCGGGCGGTGGCCGTCCGTCTCGCTCACCGCCTGAGTAGGCCTCATCCAAAAGGAGCGGTGCGTATCTCTCCGGGGGACTAAAACGTTAGTCGCAAGCCTCTCCCCGGTTCCAGAGTCTCCCTTGTGCCGGCCCACCTCTGTAGGTCGTCGGGTAGGGCAAAAAAGTTTTGTGTTATAGATTAATGCTTTGAAAGTTGCTGGAGCTGCTGTGCCATGCGACCGGCCAGCATGGCGGTCAGGCCCCGCCCCCTCCAGATCAGCTTTTAACCTCAGTTTTGCTAATAATGTTCAATTTAAGGAAATTCAGAGTTGAGTGAACAACTGTGTGTTATTAACAGAAAGTAAAAAAAGAATTGCACCTTTGTAAATTAATTTAAACTGACTGAAACAGCTGATATAAAGCTACAAGTCCCTATTACTTGGAATATGTTGACAGGCTGAGAGCACTAGGCTAAGCCACTCCAGCAACACATCCATCACGATCAGTCACCACCTTCCAAGCTAGGCCCAAGTGTCCACTTTGACTTTTAACAGATGAAGAGAGGGTGGTCCTTGGGTGTCACAGAAAACCAAATGGCTTCTTAACAATTTGACCTAAAACTGGGCAATGCATTCTGAGATGCTAGGCGACATAACGACTACACCAGTTCTTAAGTTCTTCCTTTTTTCCCCTTCACTTATTTAACCTCCGTGGCGTTCTAATTATGTCAGTATGCGCACAGCTGAAGTGACGTCCGTATAGAAATCTGATAGGTATAGATTGCTTTCTTCTAAAATATTCCTGCATTACCACAAAATTGCTCAGAAATAATAACCAATAATTTGATTGATACATAATATTCTGATATCAATATTTCATCCAATCACTAAACATAATCTGGCACCAGTTGTTTGGCATAAAAACTCCAACTCTCAGTACTCTTGAGTGGCATCAATGGCTATAGTATGCAACAGCCCAAAAACAGAAAACCGGTATTAAAGACGTTATTAAGCTGGTATCCCTGTCTCTCTCTATAGATTACAATAAAGTGATTAGTTATATGCCATAGAAAAGCAACACACTAACACTAACAGCAATACTCCATACTTGGATTTAAGATATATTTGCATACCTTCTGCTGTAACAATGGGTATCCAACCCATATAATGACACAGTCACATTTACACACACAATACATTTATACCAACAGCAGTAATTATCATATCATTACATATTTCTGTAAGATATAGCATTATTTCAACATGTTATATAACATTTTCTACTCGTGTTTCCTTGTATGCTCTTAATCATCTTATTAGACTTAATTCATTGTCACGGTCACGTCCTGCTCTTGCTGCGGATCATTTCTGGCGATGGCTTCTGGTATCCAGTACACTTATCACAATTCTTGTTTAGTTTTTCTTGTTTTTTATTCTATGTCTGGTTTTCTATATGCTGTGTTTTCTGGGTTCATTCCTTTATTCTGTTCCTGGAATTCCCAGTCTCCTGGATTCCTTTAAATGTTTGTTTTTTGTTGCCACACCGGTTCCTTTGCCATTTAATCCTTTTTGTTTCAGTCTGGTCCTGCAGGCAGTGGTTTCATTTCCTCTGCCCCTTTCTTTGCAGGTAAGTACTGTTTGTGTTTTATTATTGTTTATTTAGTCAAAGATATCTAGGCAGTTAGGACACACTGTATTTGGAGTACTTTGACGCAGTGGTGAGCTGCATACATCTTGGCCATTTCTGTATGTCTAAATCTCCAATGTTTATTAAACATATTAGTACATGGTTATGTCTCCTCTTGTCTTGTTTATTTTGTCTTCCCAGTTCATGTACAGTCCTGTCCCATCCATGCCTTGTTCTGGTTTCCCTCATGTCTTGTGTACATGTTCTGGACTCTGCTTTCTGTCCTGTTCCGGTTCCGGTTCTGGGTTTGTCTTGTCTTATCTTGTTTGGTGCCAGTTCTATTCTTGCCTTGTTTCTAGTACTGGATACATATCTGCTGCAGAGCCTCCCTATCCAGATCCTGGGAGGTCTGCATATTTTCACCTAGCTCCTGAGATCTGCAGAAGCTGCATCAGGGCCCTGGTATATGGCCGTAAAAACCCTGGTGCTCAACACCAGGGGGCGTGTGGTTACCCTGCACCAGGCCTTGATTGTTCATTTCCACAAGGTTGACTCCTATCATCAGGCACACTGGGGCCCAGGTCTTCGTACTGCCACCTGTTACGTCACATGTTTTAGAATCAAAGTGTCCCTTTATATAGTGGGCGTTTCCCTTAGAATTGTTATGTGTTAAACTCTAATTTACTTATTGCATATATGCAAGCCATTTTGGCTACACAGGGTTTTAACCCTGTAAATAAATGCTCTCTAGAACTTCAGATGTTAAAGCCGCACTGTAATGCTGAACTTACCTTTCTTTAATCGGTTCCTCTTCTCTCCCTCTCTCAGGATCTGTTCTTCATTTCTTCCTGTCCGCTCTAGTTTTCTTTAAAACATAAGACAAAGTAGGGAATACTTTGTCTTATGGAGGTTTCCCACGCCTGACCAGCGGAGGAGCAAAGTGTGCTTCATTTCCAGTGGTCAGAGCAATTCTCACCTTTGATCTTGCAATGCTTCCTGTCAGTATTGCCGAACGTCCTGTCACTTAGACAGAATGGTGGCGAAACTACCAAATTTCGTCCTAACAGAATGAGAACAGTTTGTTCATTCATGTTAGGATGCAATTCGGGACTTTGTTTGGATCAGAATTTTATTCGAATGAATGAAACTCCAATCCTATTCGTGCCGCGAATTCCCACGGTATCAGCGAGCTATCTACCAAATGGCTGAAAGACCTAAATTGGACTTTCAGCCAAATTTACTAATACTAAGGAGGAAAAGAGATCCCCCCCTTATTGCTATTTAGGGCCCCACCCACCGCTCAGGGGTGAGGGCTGCCCGGGAGGACAATAGGTCCCCCCCTTTCATTATTTAGGGCCCCCACCTGCTGCTCAAAGGTGGGGGCCAGGGTGGAGGACAATAGGTCCCCCCCCTTATTGTTATTTAGGGCTGCCGCTCACGGGTGGGGGCCGGGAGGAAGGACAATAGGTCCCCCCACCTTATTGTAATTTAGGGCCCCCATCCGCTGCTCAGGGTTGTGGGCCAGGGGGCGGACAAGAGATCCCCCCCCTTATTGCTATTTAGGGCCCCACCCACCACTCAGGGGTGAGGGCTGCCGGGGAGGACAATAGGTCCCCCCCTTTATTATTTAGGGTCCCCACCTGCTGCTCAAGGGTGGGGGCCAGGGTGGAGGACAATAGGTCCCCCCCCCTTATTGTTATTTAGGGCCGCCGCTCACTGGTGGGGGCCGGGGGGAAGGACAATAGGTCCCCCCCACATTTTCATTTAGAGCCCCCACCTGCCTTATGGGTGAGGGCCAAGGGGGACCCTATGTCCCCCATTTACTTTAATAGCCCCCACTCGCAGGGCATGGCTGGGGGCCACTATGTCCCCCACTCAGGGTAGTTAAGAGATGCCCCACCAAGCGGCCATTTATTAAGGGAAAGGGGGGGTTATTTTCTTTTTCTTAACAGTGAGCAGCCCCGGGCTGCTCACTGTTTAATAAACATACCCCTACTCACGGTAAAGCGAGTAGGGGCAGCATTTACTAATATTAAGTAATCTTTAATTAGTATTAGTAAATTTGTCTGAAAGACCAATTTAGGTATTTCAGCCTTTTGGTAGATAGGTACCAAAAAGGCTGAAAGACTTAAGATACCGTGGAAATTAAGGATCTACTAACGGCTGCAAGATGCAGCCGCGGCAATGAATAGGATCAGAGTTTCATTCATTTAAATGAAATTCCGACGCAAATAAAGTCCCGAATTGTGTCCGAACACAAATGAACAAACTGTTCTTATTCTGTTAGGACGAAATTTGGTAGTTTCGCCGTGTTCTGTCTAAGTGACAGGACGTTCAGGAACACTGACAGGAAGCATCGCAAGATCACGGCTCAAAGGTGAGAATTGTGGGAAAATTGCTCTGACCACCGGAAACTAAGCACACTTTCCTCTTTAGCTGGTCAGGCATTGGAAACCTCCATAAGACAAAGTAGTCCCTACTTTGTCTTATGTTTTAAACAAAACTAGAGCAGACAGGAAGAAATGAAGAACAGATCCTGCCAGAGGGAGACAAGAGGAATCGATTGGGGAAAGGTAAGTTTGGCATTAGAGTGCCACTTTAAAGGATCCTTTTAATGGCCATGAATTTATATTTTTCCTGAATTTACCTATTTAAATATAAAACACTTAAAGGGCTACATTTTGTTTCATGAGATAAACTGGGGAATCATCAATTAAACTGCCTTCCCCGTTTCAACCTCATCTTTTACAAATACCATATTACCCTTCGAGAGATGGCGGAGACAATTTTCATTCTTAGACTGACTTCTTGTATTGCATGTACACCAAACAAAATTCTTCTCAAAGGATGTGACAGTCAGCCAAAACATAAACCATATACACATTGTTTAAAAGGACACACAGAACTAGATTTTCCCTGTACCATTCTGCACCTTTTTAGAAACTCAAAATGTTTAATCTATTGCCAAGTGATAATGGGCTTGCTTACCCTTCAGACGACCAGTCAGTTTTGAGTGTCCAAAGGGCCAGGCAGTTACAGGTAATTAATTAACCCTTGTTAATTGTAACAGAGCTCCCTGTACCCCAACTGGGTACCTCTGCCACAGGACCGCTTCCTAGCTGGAACAGGGGACAAGCCTCAGCACTCTGACTCTCAGTTGCCGTGGCTTGACTGGGGCCCTGGAACTGCTCCTTCCTGGAGCCGAATGAGGAATTAGCTCTAGTCCTTACATGGACTTTACCCGTTGAAACCCCTGCAAGCTGGAACAGCAGACACAGGTGTAAATCTTCTTTCCCTCCAATAACAGGATGACACACAGTTTTGGAGTGTAAGCTGGAATAGCATTTTGCTCACTGGCCTTTTATGCACGTTTCCCCAACAAGGGCGACACCCAGATGGACCTTGTTGGGCACAGGGACACAAAGTGAACAAACCAATAAAAACAGAGTCATACAGTGAGACACTCCCATACACAAACAATAGAATCCCTCCCCTGTGCTTGGGAGATAATTGAATCAAGAACTGTACTAATCTAACCCAATTATCTTCAAGCACAGAAAAAACATACAATTTTATAAAAACTGCAAAAAGTACCTTAACAACACACAAAACCCCATAAAAGTTACATGATAGCCCTGATCTGGGTGAACAACATATCCAAAAATCACCCAGATCGGTTCAGGGGTTCAGGAATTTCCTGGAAGTCATATTTTTGACCGACCGCAAGTATGGCCCCATGCCCAAAACAGTTCCAGGGAAATCCGTGCTAATAGTTGGTCAAGTTTGGCAGTCTTTTACAGGTTTCCCTGCAGGGCCCATAGTCTGTGGGCAGGAGGCTGCAAGCAGGCTTCTCCAGGAACTTGTGGCAAACTCACTTGAAAAGGGGAGTTTGTCACACTAATCTCCTGTCCATGGTCACTAAACTCATACTGCTACAAAATATGAAAAGGAAACCTAGCACTGTACAAACTGCAAAAAGGAAGCTTATCACTGATACCTTAAAGGAGCACTATAGTGCCAGGAAAACAAACTCGCACTATACAGTTATTAGGTCCCCCCGCCGCTGGGTTGAAGGGGTTAAAACCTCTTCAGCCACTTGCCTTAGTCCAGCACCGGGCTCCCTCGGTGCTGGTGACCTCCCCGCCCCCCCCGCCTACGTCAACTCCTAATGCGCATGCGCGGCCAAAGCCGCACGCGCATTCAAACCGCCCATGGAGTCGCTTCGTGTATATAATACTCACTTACCCATCTTAACATTAAATGCATTGACCCATAATCCAAGATAGCAAAACACTAGGGAAACCTGCAAAGCCAATATAGCAAGATGTGGTGGTTATGGTACTCAGACTCAGGGTCGGCCTTAGGCCTTTAGTAGCCCTGTGCAAAAAATCTAAACCGCACTCCCCCTCCGGTCATACCCCTTCATTCATGAATAGTGTGTGTAAAGGGGTATAATGTTTGTTTAGGATATTTTATTTAATATGTGTGAGAGGCATTATGGCTGTGTGTGATTTGTATGCTATATGCTGGCTGTGTGTGATGAGTATTTAATTCAGATAGAAAATATGCATGTAGGACCATGTGTGAATGCAGGTGTGAGTTTTGCAGACTCACATGCACACAGTACCATAGTCAGATGTACACAGTTATACACACAGTCCCAGGTATATAGTCGCGCACACAGGTACAGGCAGCCACACACAGTTAAAGGTAGCCACATATACACACAGTTATAGGTAGGCAATTACAGACAGACAGTCGTACACACGGTTACATGCAGAGAGTCACACACCATTATACGAAGTCTCTCTCTTTCTCTCACACACACACACTGGTACAGATAGA